TAATAAGCTTCCCATTTTATATATATATATATATATTAAGGTGTGCTATATTTATGGGATAAAGTGCTCAATATCAGGTAAAGCGTGTGTAAATATAAAAGTGAACATAGAAGTCAACACTTAGATGCTAAGGCCTGACGATTGCGTCTAGCATGAAACACTGTCGTCTCTAAAAAATTCTATGTTCACATATATATATATATATATATATATATATATATATATATATAATATTAGCCTTTTATTTCTAAATTCATATTAGTGGACCCCAAATTTAAAATTATACATTTTTCTCTCTTTCGACCGCTGGTTCAGAGAACTTCGAGAAATATCGACTTCTCAATTCTTTGTTAAATTAATTTTGCAATTTCTATGGAAAGTGTTCAGACGAACTACATTCCTTAGTTCCGCTAGTTGTCTTCACGGCTATGAACCGCAATGCTATGCACATCGAAGTGAAGCACCCTCATTCACTTCATTATTGAGGTGAAAGTTTCACTCAAGTAGCAGCTGCTTTGTAAAACTGACTCCCAGGAGGATGCTTACTCGGTCAATACAATCTTAACTTGTTCAATATAGTTAACCGTTACCTCTCCCCACACGCGCACACATAAACTGTGCATCTTAATCTGTAACCCCCTACTTTGAATGGCTCTTGGGCCTTGTACAAAATGAAATAATAATACGTGCAAACAAATAATTAAATTATGATGGTGAGAACAAACAAAACGGAAAATTCGAAATGGTATGTGTAGAGAAAGTCTGGCTAGCAAATGAATTGACGTTTTTCAAAGCTTTCAGTTTTAATCTTAACTTTTTTTTATTGGTTTCAGGAATGAAGTAATATCACTTTTGCAAGAAGCGAAAGGCTGCGTTCTTCCTCTCTTTAAATTCATTGAGCTCTTTGACAGAAGGTAAATTTTCAGTTCTTCGAAGTTTGCAATACGATTTAGCGAAACTAATTCAATTCACCTTTCTAAACCCAACACGCCCATGGCTTTTTTATTTATTTATTTTACAGTAATCTAACACCTGAATCTCCTATCTCTTCCAAAGGTACCACAGGTCAATCACAGTGTCAGAGCTGTACAAAATGAAGGACGTTCTCGAGATCAGAGAACAAGGCGGCGCAGGACGCATGATTCACCTAACAGCTTCTTATTCGGTGCCCCTGTCTAACTTGGATGCAGAGGTAAATAAATCTTCTGAATATTTTTTTTAATTGAAAATTTAATACATTGCTTTCTAAACCAATGGCCGTGACAAGAATGAGAGTCGGTCACTCTTTGTATGCGCGTATGTAAAAGAGAGGGATAGATGTCTTATGTGATATTGGGATACTAGACTCTAAGTCTGGACAATTCTACCCTGGGTTGAGCAATAAAATCAAAATTGGAAATGAGATTTTCCTGTTGTAGCTATAAAGAATTCGGGTAATTCAATCTGGCTTTGAACTTTTAGGAAATTTTTCAGTAATAAATAAATTCTAAAGATTTTTAATTTCGCCGAAATATTTTAGGTCTCTGAATTAAAAATATACTTGCGAACACAGTTTGAGAGAAATGTTGTGAGGGCTAATTTGTTTCTGTCTGGTAATAACCCCTGGGTAAGAGGAAAAGAATATGAAGAAAAATGTGTGGGGGCTCTTTTAAAATCATTTTTATGACTTTTTGTATTTAAAATGTCTTAATAAATGTATCATAATTAAATTGACAAACTTGTTAAAAACTTTATTTTGCCGTTAGTGAAGTGACTGTTACCAAATAGTTATTAAGCATCGATGCATGTTAAATATTAATATCAATATTATTATGCTGAGGTGGTTGGAGAGTGTCAATCGTATCGTTTCTTGCACATTTCTGATGTTGCTGTTTTGAGATAAGCGATAAATTTGCATGAAGTTATATCTAATATATTTATTTGAAACATTCTCGTCGGTTCCTACTCTTAAATTAATTTCTCATTAAGATTAGATTTTATTGGACTTTTGATTTCATCAATTATTCACAGCCACTGATTATGTGAGTGGCGTCCTTGTTGTGTTGGAGAATGTCTCTCTTTCTCAATGTCTGTCTCTCTCTCTCAAAATTCTGTCTCTCTATCTCTCTCAATTTTCTGTTGAGAATTTCTCAATTTGCTTTATTTAAATAATTACTCTCTAAATGTTGTCTTTAATCTCTCATTTCATATTAATAAGCTCTCTCATTTTATATATCTATATATATATTAATATCTCTCTCTATATTTCTGGGATAAAGTCTCAATGTCAGGTCTATCTCTCTCAATATAAAAGTGAACATCTCAATGTCAACACTCTGATGCTCAATCTGACTCTCTGTCTCTCTCAATGTCTGTCTCTCTATCTCTCTCTCAATGTCTGTCTTCTATCTTCAATTCTATATCTATATATATATATATATATCTATATATCTATCTCTCAATGTCTGTCTCTCTTTCTAAATTCATCTTAGTGGACCCTCAAATTTCTGTCTACATCTCT